AGAGCCGGACTATCGTAAGGGGGGGCTATGAGGGGTCTGGGGTGGCATCCCCTCCCACCCCACTCCAGACCCCTCAGCCCCCCCTTCTGATAGTCCGGCATATCCGATAATCTGGCACCCCATGGGTCCTAAAGATGCCGGATTATCGGAAGTTTACTGTACTTGAACATGTTGGCTTATTCCACTGATGTAGCCCCTCATACTCCTTCACGGAAATATTTTTATGTTCTCTTTGAATAAATGGTGCATTACTTTTTGTACTAAAGAATTTAAAGGTGAAAAACATTTTGGTATGATTTTTTGCAATTACTATGTCTGATTTTCCTTTTAAGAAGCATGAATAAATGTTTTTCATAAGCAAGTTAACGTTCGCTAATTCCACTGTATCTCTCACATAACGTTTTGTTTTGATTTTTTTGTAGAGAAGGTATGGATACAGATAAAGATGACCAACACGGAAGGTACAATACTAAAATGTATAATTCAAGAGATTTAATTAGAGACCAGGTCCCTGATCTTTGATTTTTGTGGCATATCAATGAAGTCACAGAAGCTTGAGTTCCATGTGGGTCTGAGAATTTTCAGGATGAGGGCTTAATGTTAGAGTTAAATTAGCAAGTAACCTAAACCTTAGTGGAAAAACCTACTGTAAATAAAAATCATTTCTAAACTCAGTTTGTCTTCAAAAAATATTGTTATAATTGAAAATCAACAGCTACTTAGTGTATACAAAAGGAATTATTTAGAAAATTATGTAGAAAGTATAATGGAAATAAACCTGACTTTGTAATTTAACTACTTCTTCATCAGGTTGGAATATACAGACCAACAAGGCAGAATTAAAAATGCAAGGTAAGCTATATTATTTCTTAACTTGCCGAAAAAAATGATATTCTAGTTCTCCTGTCATGTTGAGGAGCTTGTGCATCTGGGCCCAAATCTCAAAGTAAAAACTTATTTTGGTGCTTTTTTTTCCTGTTTGGCTATTCCATCTATTTTCAGTTTTAGAGATTTATTCTTTTATGAATTGCATTCTATTTTATTAAAATACTAATATGGTAGATTTTTTTTATTGGAAATGCATAGTTAAAAAGCAATCCCCATTCACACTATAGCCTGGATAACTCCCTCTACATTGAACCAAAAGAATTGCATTCTATAAGGCTACGTCTAGACTGGCCCCTTCTCCGGAAGAGGCATGCAAAGCATGCAAGTCAGAATAGGGAAATCCGCGGGGGATTTAAATATCCCCCGCGGGATTTAAATAAACATGGCCGCCGCTTTTTTCCCAGCTTGGGGAAAAGCCGGAAAAGAGCATCTAGACTGGCGCGATCCTCCGGAATAAAGCCCTTTTCCGGAGGATCTCTTGCAAGTAGGAATAAGAGATCCTCCGGAAAAGGGCTTTATTCCGGAGGATCGCGCCAGTCTAGATGCTCTTTTCCGGCTTTTCCCCAAGCTGGGAAAAAAGCGGCGGCCATGTTTATTTAAATCCCGTGGGGGGTATTTAAATCCCCCGCGGATTTCCCTATTCTGACTTGCCTGCCTCTTCCAGAGAAGGGGCCAGTCTAGACGTAGCCTAAGTGTTAATCACATTGCTAGGCTGTAAAGTGCTGAAGTTCATGTAATATTAAACAAACAAAAAAGCCACTTTGAATTTAAATGTGTGGTATCAAAATGATGATGTGATACTCTGCTCAGTTTTTCTAAGCACTAGGAAGAGCCTAGTTTAGAGCTGTTTTTCTAAATATTTTAACAGTACAATAGGATGAATACTAAACTTATTTGGTAACCATAAAAGGGAACATTTACATAAAGCACATACTTCAGTAAATGTGAATATTATAATGAATTACACTTTTTAATGCTATGCTGTGGACACTGGTATTTATGCATCCTTGACCTTAATTTTTACATGATTCCTATAGTACTTCAGTAGATGTGCTCTGATACGAAGGCAGCAATACAAAACCGTAAAATAGATAGAACCTGCTTGTTAGATAATTTCAGTATTGATTGTAAATAAGGCAGCATACAGCGTTGCCCAAGATATGAATATCTGATGCTAAATTAGGGCCCCATCCTGTTACTTTTTACTCCCACAGATAATATTCATTCACACAAATAGTTAACTTTTAATATTTACTTCAGTGGGATTACTTTCGTGTGTGTGGCCTTAAGACAGGGATGGGCAATAACTTTTTATGGGGGTCCACTGCAAGATTTTGGAAAGTGGTTGAGGGCTGCACTCTTTCAGGATATTAATGGAGGAATTCCAGGTTCTGGGATGGAGGTTGGGAGCAGAAGGGAGCTTGGGGTAAGGAATTGGGGGTACAGGAGGAAGACTGGGGTCTGGGAGGGAGTTTGGGTGAAAAAGGCAGTTGTGACCTAGGGCAGGGGACTGGGATGTGACCTAGGATAGGAGGGGATTGTGATTTGGGGCAGGAGATTGGGGTGCCAGATCTGGGTGCAGGAGGGAGCCAGAGGGTTTGGGTATGTGAAGGAGGGGAAGAGGGTTGGGGAAGGGAGGGGCTGGGATGCTAGTGGCAGGCTCTGGCTAAGAGGTGCTTACTAGCAGAAACCTGAGACAGGCTGCTCCATGTGGCTCTGCTCCAGGCATGAAAGGGTGGAGGAGGAAGGGAGAAGGTTTCCTACACTGCCCCTACCTCCAGCAAAAATTCTCAGCTACTATTGGTCGGAAACTGAGAGATTGGCCAATAGGAGCTAAGAGATTTTGCTGGGGATGGGAACAACATGAAGTTTCCCTCCTCCCTCCCCAGCAGTTTAGAATGGAGAATAACTGGCTTTTTAAAGCGTGAGCTGTTCACTGCCTAAGGGTTCTGGTGAGGTGGCTGGATCCAGTGGCAAGGCGGGCCGGATCTGGCCCACTGGCTGCATCTTGCTCACCCTGCCTAAAGATAAGGGTTGCAGAATGGGTCTTGTGGTCTCTTTCTTTAAAATTCGTTGTTTTTTTGTTTTTTTCTGATCCTTTGAAACTTCGTTATGCTGTTCAATCTTACATTTTTGTTATTGCTTAGAGAGGCTCATAGCCAGATTGAAAAAAGACGCCGAGATAAAATGAACAGTTTTATTGATGAATTGGCATCCTTGGTACCAACGTGCAATGCTATGTCTCGAAAGCTAGATAAACTTACTGTACTCAGAATGGCTGTTCAGCATATGAAAACATTACGAGGTGAGTTACAAAAACTCTTGTCTTTTGTTCTGCATTGAGCTGTGAGGAATGGTCTGGTCTAGAGCTTTTGGAATAAGAGAATGGTCCATATGTGTTGTTATGGCTGCAGAACCCCTTATTTATATTGGATTACTCATGCTCTTGGGAGACATTATCTCTGTAAGGGATGATAGAGTGTTGAAATCCTGGCCCACATGGACACTGCTTTGACAGCATGCATTTAAATAAGCTTTGAGACCAAAAGCAGAGTCTTAAATTGGCTTACTAATTAAAGGCAATGTAAAGATTGCTAGGTTCCATTTGTTATAAAAGAAACTTGCAATTAGAACAGAGCTGGAAAAATCCCCTGAGTGACCATCAAAATGCACTAAAGAAAAAGTGTTTTGTAAACAAGAATATATTTATGCATAGTAAATGGGTGTATATTAAGTATATTACATGGAGTAGTCACTTATTTCTTTTTTCTTTAAGGTGCCACAAACCCATATACAGAAGCAAACTATAAACCTGCTTTTCTGTCAGATGATGAATTAAAACATCTTATTCTCAGGGTATGTTTCAACTTAAAATACTATTTAAAAAAATATTAATTTAGAGAAGGGGAGAGATGGGAAAGACCACAGTGCGTTTAACCAGACCCATGGTGCAACTTGAGAGACTGCTGATTTTCAAAGACGATGAACCTCTGCAATTTCACTTTGAAGTCAGTGGAACTTGAGGATGCTCAACACCTGAAAATTAAGCAATGGGAGGGAATAGAGGGAGCAAAAATAATAGGCCAGTTCAAAATATTTTCACACAAGCATTTTGGCATAAAATCACCCTACCATCTGCTTAGGCTTTTTAGTTGTTGGGTTACTGAAGTTAAAAGTAAATAAATGAACACCATTTTTTCAGCTCATTTCTTATTGGCTTGTTTTTTTTGTTTTTTTTATAAAACTTTTCTGCACATACAATTTTCAGTGTATAATCAGTTGATGCATAAAAGTCATAACTGAGGTTGAGTAAACGCAACTGATTTTAAAAATAAAATCTATATACTATATCAGTGCTATAAAAACATAAGCTAAGCATTTTGTTCTAGTGCTTAAGCGCAGATGTAAAAATTGATTTAATAGGTTTGCTGTGCTTAACAAATCTAATTTAATTACCAAATATAGTATATGCAAGATTGAGTTATTTAAATGGTTCTGTGATTTGTATGAATTTACAAAATTAGGACCTGATCCCCCACAAATTCTTATGTACACGCCCATTGAATTAAGTAGAAGTACTTACATGCATAGAAATGTCTGCAAGGTCTGGACCGTACTTAATTTCCAAAAGAAGTTACAGAATCGTAGGATTGAAAGAGATCTCAGGAGGTCAAGTCCAACCCCTTCTAAAAGGAGGACCAATCCCAATTAAATCCTCCCAGTCAAGGCTGTAAGTTGGGATTTAAAAACCTCAAGAGACGGAGAGTCCATCACCTTCCTAGGTAATCCATCTCAGTGCTTCACCACCCTCCTAGGGAAATAGTTTTCCCCCATATCCAACCTAGACTCCCACCCCTCTCCCCCTCCACTGCAACTTGAGACCATTACTCCTCGTTTTGTCATCTGTTACCACTGAGAACAGCTTCTCTCGATCTTCTTTGGAACCTCCCTTCAGGTAGCTGAAGGCTGCTATCAACTCCCCCCTCACTTTTCTGTTCGGTAGACTAAATAAGCCCAAATCCCTCAGCCTTTCCTTGTAAGTCATGTGTTCCAGCCCCCTAATCATTTTTATTGTCCTCCACTGGATTTTCTCCAGTGCATCCACATCCTTTCTTTAATGGGGGACCCAGAACTGGATGCAATACTCGAGGCAATATTCGGCCTCACCAGTGCCGAATAAAGGGGAACAATCATTTCCCTAGATCTGCTGGCAGTGCTCCTACAAATGCACCCTGATTGGCCATTAGCCTTTTTGGCTACAAGGGTGTGCTGTTCACTCATATCTAGCTTCTCATCCACTGTAATCCCCAGTTCTTTTCTGCAGAACTGCTGCTTAGCCAGTCAGTAGAATTAATATAAAATTAAATAAAGCTAGGTAAAAAATAAGGTTTGCTATTGATTTTATTAAAATTAATTTAAGAAATGTATTACATGAGATCATATGGGTTTTTACTACTCCTGAAATTGTCTTTAAGTTCTTGTAATTAAGGAGCATAGTGCCAAAAAAATCTAATTACAAGTGCAAAAAGATGTTTAAGCTTTTTCTCATAATGTCATACTTTACTAATTTAATTATTTCTGTCGATGTAAAGATTTAATGTTAATATAGCAATCCTACTGTGTAACAAAGGTAGCTAAATGCTAAAAATATATAATGATCTGTTTTAAATATAATGTAATAATATAAATATCTATCCTAATTAGGCAGCAGATGGATTTCTGTTTGTTGTGGGCTGTGACAGAGGGAAGATATTGTTTGTTTCAGAATCTGTCTTCAAGATCCTCAACTATAGTCAGGTATTGTTCTGTATCTTGGGAACTAATAATGGACAGACCTCAGAGACTGAAAAGTTTTGTTTGGAAACACATCTAAACTTTGGAGTATTTATCTAAAAAGTCTTTTTGAGTCTGGAGTTATTTCAGAAACTGACTAATTTGCAAGATTTACAAAATTTCCTGGTTTCTGGTGGATTGGAAATAAACCTTCCTTTTGGTAACACTACTTCTGATTTCAGCTTCATACAGGAAGTGCAGAGCAATATCTGTTCACCTTTTATAAAACTACTTGATTCTGGTTTTATTTTATCCAAATTTTGAAAAATGGTACTTAGGGTTTTAAGCCAGTTGGACACCTCTATGTTTTGGGAAATTTTTCCATTTAGTTCCAGTTTTATCTACTTCGATTGCCCTTCCCTTCTTGTTAATAAAGTAAAGTCACGTAAGGTTTGTACTGAGAATCATCTTTTGCAATCAGGCAACAGCAGCCCTCTGTGTAAACAGTGTTGCCTTTATATCAGTTTACCAGTAAATCAAAATGCATTTGAGTTTATAGTAGCTGGATGGCAAAGAGGAGGGGTGCTAATATTTATATAAGTAGATGCCCACGGGAGCAGTATAAGGGAGAACAATTTAAATATGGGTGGCATTTGACAAGATGAGGAATCTGAGCAAAATGAAATTATACTTATGCTACCATCTAATATGACAAGCTATTTGGAAAAATAATCAGCATACTCAAACCAAAGGCAGGTTTAATATACACTTAACACAAGGTTTGAATTTTAGGAAACCTCTTGTTATGATGCTACCATATCCTTAATTTTCTGTACCACCTTCTCCTTCATTAAAAGTGTATGAACTTCAAAACTAAATTAAAAAAATAGTCCATTGGCTGGATTTTTGTTCAGGGTTCATATTCTAAAAGCTTTGGGAGACATGAATATGTTTTAGTTGTAATTTTTCAATGAATACTTGCTATGTAATTGGGAATAAACCTTTTCAGGGAAAAGAGGCCCAAACTTTGACTGCAATAGACTGAAGAAACTGTCATAGTAGACTGACAAACTAAGTGGCACTTTAACATTTATGCTATATTTCCCAAATTTTAACACGCGTATTTATTTTTAATTTCTGATTTAATATTCCATATCTACAGAATGATCTGATTGGTCAGAGTTTGTTTGACTACCTTCATCCTAAGGATATCGCCAAAGTTAAGGAGCAGCTCTCTTCTTCTGATACCGCACCCCGAGAGAGGCTCATAGATGCAAAAAGTGAGTATTTGTTTCCTTGAAATTTATATACTTTTATCATTTCCTTTTTTATACCAGATATATCAATTAAATGCTGGCTAATACTGTTTACTTCCACTGTGCCTTACAACTAAGGATCTTCATGGATTAATATTTATAAAATACTAATGAACTAATTTGTACATCTCAAATGGATTAATTAATCCTTGTCCATTTTACAAAGGAGAGACTGAGTTGCAGAGAGGTCAAATGACTTGCTGAAGACCATACAAGTAATCTTTTTGGTAGAACTAGGAACCGAGTCTAGATCTCCTAACTTATTTTCTTGTGGTTTTAACTACATAAACCGTTCTTCTACAAACATTGCAACAAAATGGGAAATGACTGCCTAGAAAGGAGTACTACCAAAAGAGATCTCAAGGTCATAGTGGGTCACAAGCTATATATGAATCCACAATTGGACACTGTTAAGGAAAAAAAACAAATATTGTTCTGGGATGTATTGTCAGGAATGTTGTAAGGAAGACCTAAACAATTCTACTCTACTCTGTGTTGATTAAGCCTCAGCTGGGCAGCACGTAAGTCAGTGGTCTCCAACCTTTTTACACCCAAGATCACTTTTTAAATGTCAGAACAAGTCAAGATCTACCGCCCCATCCTTCCCCAAAACCCCACCCCTTCCTTGAAGCCCCGCCCTCTCAATTCTCCTCCTCTCCATCACTTGCTATCCCCAGCCCTTATACATTCTGTACTGCCTGTTTTTTCAATTCTTCTGTAGAAAGAGGTTTTTCCAACATTTGGCCTGTCTAGACTGGACCAAATGTCAGAAAAGTCCCTTCTTTCGGAAGACCCCTTATTCCTCGTGGAACGAGGAATACAGGGGTTACCGAAAGAGCATATTTGCTCTTCCATTTTAAAAAAAGTGGAAGCACAAACATGTTCCTGGATGCGGAAGAGTTTTTCCGGGATATCTCTGGAATCCTGGAAAAAGTCCTGCAGTCTAGCCATACCCTCACTGGGTTGAGACAGGATGTGTGGGCTCTGAGGTGGGAATGAGGGATTTGAGTGTGGGACGGGGTGAGAGGTGCAAGCTCTGGGAGGAAACTTGGATGCAGGAGGAGGTGGAGAAGGGGACGCTGGCTCGGGGAGGGGACTCCAAGCTGGGGAGTGTTGGGGTCAGATGGAGGGTTGGGGTACTGAGCAAGCCACAGGCTTGTGGCTGGGGGGGGGGGGGGAGTTTGGGTTGGGTTGGGGTATGTGAGGGGCTCAGGGCAGGGGGGGTCCAGTGTATGATAGGTTCAGATCTAGGGTCTGGGAGTGGGGGGGGAGGGGGCGGGGGCGGGTGCAGGAGTGTTATGATGCTGCGGCCAGATGGGGGCTTGGTCCCAGTTGGGGGTTTGTTGGCCATGCTTCACTTTTAAATAAAATATTATGCCAAACACACACAGTTTCTGCATTGTCTTTATTTATGAGAAGGGCAGAGAACCTGTTTTGAGTCAGGGGTCACTGACCTGCAGAAAAGTCAGTTAGGGGCGGGGGCGGGTGCAGGAGTGTTATGATGCTGCGGCCAGATGGGGGCTTGGTCCCAGTTGGGGGTTTGTTGGCCATGCTTCACTTTTAAATAAAATATTATGCCAAACACACACAGTTTCTGCATTGTCTTTATTTATGAGAAGGGCAGAGAACCTGTTTTGAGTCAGGGGTCACTGACCTGCAGAAAAGTCAGTTAGGGGCCACACAAGTGAGATGCAAAAAAATAACTCCTCCAGAAACCCCTCAAGCCTCACTAATGTGGCCTCAACTGTGCTGGTGGGAGCAGGGGACATGATACTGGGGAAGGGTGCTAGTGGGTGCTGGGGCAAGGGGCAGGGAGCTGGAGTGGGGGACAGGGTGCCAGTGGGACAGGGTGCCAGTGGAAGCAGGGGACAGGGTGCCAGTTGGGGTAGGGGACAGAGTCTCTCCCTCTTCCCTCCCCCTCCCCCTCCACCTGCCCCCGGGACTCCTCCCTCCTCCCCGCTGCAGAGGAGGGAAGCCCCGGCGCGCAAATCCTCTGGAGACGTCTCCAGGGACAACTTCCCCCTTCCCTGTGTTCAGATGTGGTGCTTTGCACACGCAAAATAGCAGATGTAAATCTAGAAGTCACTTATGAAAATTAGACAAAGTATGTCCATTTTCTTCTCAAGCACATGTATAAATAACTTTGGTTGCAGGATCAAGGCCAGTGATTTTTGAGGCACAGAAATATACAGACCCACTGAACAAGCTATCCAAAGTATTTTATTTCTGAAGGGGGGCAAAGTGGAAGAGAGTGAGTGAGAGCACACACTTTTGGACCACTTAATATTATATAAGTTTCAAATAATTTAAAGATATCTGATACTATTTGCATGTTTTACATATAAATGGGGTATTAAACTGTTATATGATGTAAGTTATGACAAAGTATGAGCTCATAAATTGCTTGTTAGCTGGTGAGCATCATTTGTGAAGTGTCAAGTCTCCAAATTCCTGAGGTAGTCACTAACAGCAACATGGGATTAACAGTATGCACTGGAAAACATTTAAACACCATGTGTACTGTTAACATCTCACATAATGAATAGGCCAACAGCCTGATCATTTTCAAGTCTGGGTGTCAGCCCTGGTATAAGCAAACACAATTCCAGTGGCATTAATAGAATTATTCCTGGTTGCATCAAGCTCTCAAGGAATCCCAAATGTCATACATGTCTTGTAAGTTTACCACAGGCTCTATTAATGGTTTGTAGCAAATGGGCCAACTGCACAGTTAGAGAGCAAAGGAATTGCAAAATCTGTTGGAAAGAAAATATTGCAACAAGTCTCTGACTTTCATATTTGGGACCCCTTAATCCTAGGTTGGTGTTCCTATACCTGATGTGGTCACTGTTGACAGTTGTCACACAGATAAATTATCCAGCCATGTAATTTTGTTTTGCTGTTTGCTTGGCTAGTAAATATATCTTCCAACAAAAAAGAAAGAGCAATAAATAGACCTTCTTTAACTTGGAGGAACAAGAAATACGTGAGTCTTCTCCATGTAAATCCCAGGAACGCAGCATTAGATATGTGATAAATAAAAATCAACTCAGGGTGCCGAGAAGTTGATATGAGTTTTCTGAGTACATTACGCTCTCCTTAAAGACTTTACTGGGGAGTTAATAATGTACTTGAATTAATTTTAATAAAGGTAACTATTTTGTTTTATGCAGCTGGGCTTCCAGTTAAAACAGACATAACACCTGGGCCATCGCGACTTTGTTCTGGAGCAAGACGTTCCTTCTTTTGTAGAATGAAATGCAACAGACCTTCAGTGAAAGTAGAAGACAAGGATTTTCCTTCTACCTGCTCAAAGAAGAAAGGTAGTGTTTGAACATATTATCAAATATCATTATAGTTTTACAGTTATTTTCTCTGTACTGTTGCTGTATGAAACACCTACTAGAGCAACAAGAATAACTGTGAGATTAAAAACAAAATAACATTCCGTTAATTATAAAGAATTTTGAAATAGAATTGCTCTATTTTTAGAACAGCTATCACCGTTGTGACTTTGTAAAGGTTTTTACTCTCTCTACAAAAGCTCATGATATTATATATTTATATTTTGTTAGTCTCCAGGGTGTTATGGGACTACGTTTTACTTTCTTGTTCTCTTTTTAGCTCCCAAAAAGTAAATGTCATGCAGTTACATTTTTGAAAGAGTAATTTTGTTAGTGGATAAGGCAAAATTCTGCTCTCTGAAGTAAGTATGGCTTTAATTTAAATTGATGGTAGCTATGTGCAATTATTTTGGGTGTCTGAATGTGACTATATGCCCTAAGCTTCAAAGTAATAATTCATAGGTATCAAACAACTAGATTCACAAAAGTACTTACATGCCTGATTGTCAGTTGTACCTAAAGGTTGGATTTAGGCACAACTGACATTCTCAAAACCACTATTCAGTAGCTAGCTAACATGATAGGCATCTAAACTCCCCATGGCACCCACGTTTCTTTTGACCGACCAAACCAGTAGGCATGCTCAGCAGTGTTCCCTCTAACATTTTCTATCCTTGAGTGGGCTGAATTTTCTTTTGGGTGGGTTGAAATTTCTTAGGTGCAACACCAGTATTGAGGTAATGTATGGATGTCCACCCACCAGTACAAACAACAAACCTAGATATAAATATATATTTTAAACAGTCCATAAGTGTGGAAGAAAATGTATTAAAACAAGGGATAATTAACAAGGAGTAATGCTTTTTCTTCAAGTGATGTCCCAGTGGGTGCTCCACTGTCGGTGTCGGGTCGCCCTGGCTCTGCAGATTAGAGTTTTCCGTAGCAGTAGCCAATTGGACTGTGCATGCACACCAAGCGCCCTGTGCTTCGTGCGTGGCCCAGCCCCCCTTTGGTAACTTCTTCGCTACCCTGGGCTGCAGACGGAACTTACGTCTCTCCACAGAGATTACCTCAGTTAGAAAAATGTAATTAGTTCAGTTGTTCTCGTTAGTTACATACTTAGTAGTGTATAATAGTGTTTTGTTGTTTTTAAAAAAAAAAAAAAAGCCGTTTGCCGCAGCCTCACTTCCAGAAAGAAAAAAGTAAAGAGAAGCTGGGCTGGGAGCAAAAGCAGAAGTATTGACCAATGCTTATGTCATGCTGGGCTCCCCAGGCTTTAAAAAAGGTGACAGCTGTCACAAGCCTATGCCCGCATGAGACGGACATTTGTCCTGCATGGGGTAGGCACGCATTCAGCAGAAATGCCCCCATTGTCGGCTCCCTGAACTGGCTGTGAGGGCTTGCTGTGATGGAGAGATGTGCCTCGGCATGCTCCTTTTTGATAAGGCACTTCAACCACCTGAGGCCAGGGACTCTTTCTCCTGTTCTGACCCTCCCAGCATAGAAAAACAGAGTGCGCTCCCCAGCACCAAACAAGTGCACAGACAAGAAGTACTTTGTTCCCACCAAGGGATTAGATTTCTGTTCTCACCCACAACCCAGTTCATTAGTAGTGGATGTGGCACAGCACAGGTGAAAACTTTCCCAGTACAGAAATGTTTCCCAGGATAAAGAGTCCAAGTGCATGGATTTATTTGGTAGAAAAATGTACTCGTCCTCCACCCTTCAACTCTGCATAGCAAATTATTCCGCCCTCTTTGAGCAAAGCCAGATGAGGTTCTACATACGAGCAAGGATGCTCGCACTACACTCCGTAGCATCAGCATGTTTACCCCTCCATATCGCTGCAGATGGTACACACCTTATCATCGGCACTCTTATTTCTCCTCCTCCCACTAACAACAAAGGGAGTTTGATCAATCCCACACCAGACCTCGTGTACAGAGGAAGCAACAACAAAATAATTGTTCCAATTTGCAGTCCAAAAAGCAGCAGATTTGAAACTTTAATCGGAGGCCTGCCCGACCTCTCCCATCTTCATATTCTTCAAGATCACATCACTGTTTTTAATCACCACTTGCACCCATTCTGTCAACTGTGGGCTACAGTTACCAAGGACTGCTGGGTCCTGGAGGTCGTAACATCTGGCTACTCCATTC